ATGCCGAGCAAGAAAAAAAAACAATAAATATGTGTATAAATCTAAGCAAGCATTAATTTCATGGTAAAATAAAAATAATAATCACTAATTTGTGAATTTTAAAATAAGAAACAACTAAAACACTGAACAGTAATAATTTAACAAATACTTTTTGATGAGGACACTTTAAGAAATAATTTCATAGAGAGGATATATTACTAAAAAGTAGAGGAATTATTGCTTAATTGGAAGAGGGATAATTCTTCCAATTATTGCTTAATTGCAAATAATCCACTTACTGCTTAATTCAGGAGAACAGTAGGAAAAAAATAAGAGAACATTGAAAACAAGACAAGAAAAATGAAACAAAATATATGGGGGGAGGAAACCTCAGGAAAATAGAAAAATTTTAGAAATACTCACATTAAATGTAAATAGACTAAATCCTCTTTTTAAATGACAGAGATTAAACATTAAATTCAATTATATAATGTTTATAAGAGAAATGCCTAAAATAAAAGGACTCAGAAAGAATGAATAAATGAATGTAAAAAAATATAACAGGCAAATATAAACAAATGAAGTCTGGGTGTTGTAGAGACTGGTTAAATGTTTACCAGTTTTTTCTCTTCTTGAGTACATAGGGTAACTGTCTTTCCTAGTCTGTCTCAAATTTAAACTGGGACTTGCTCTTTTCTAATTGATACATGGACAAAAGTAACAGAGATCACTTACAAATCTGACCTTTGAGATCTCCCATAATATTTTTGGCTTCCTTTCCTTCTGCTGTGTCACTGTAACAAGAGTTCCAAGATGGAAGAGATACAAGAATAAAGAACAGGAAGCCCTGGTTACTGCTTGGAAAAGAGCTGGCTCAAAACACATCTGCCATTCCTCAGACTTTTCATAAGCAAGAATTTTTTTTCTTTATAGTTATTGATATTCTGTGGGGTATTTGTCATCATAGTTTAGCCTAGCCTTTCCTCTCTAAAGCAGGAAGCAGTATATTGAAATTCTATAAATGTGTGGCATTGGTTAAGCAGCAGTCAAGAAGTGGAAAGGGATAATGTGACATTATCCCTTTCGGAATGAAGCGGAATGATGGCTATTCACATCATACGATGAAACATATTTGGTTTAAGTATTATCTGTGGCCATTAGAATCTAATCACCTGTTGCTCTAGGAGAAATATTTGTAAATTATCAGAGCATTTGTGTACATATAATGATATTACAAGAAGCAGAGCATTAGAGTAATATAAGAAAGAGGTGAGATTAGAGAAAGAACTGGACCATTTGCAAAAAGAAAGAAAAGAATAAAGACAGTCTAGAAACGTGGTGCCTTCAATTGCTGAAAATCTATTTATAGACCCCAAATACTAAGATACAGATTTTTTTTTTTTAAAGCATCGAGCCAACAAATCCCATTGCAATTTCTCAGCTAAATGAAGTAACTCAGGGTAAAGATCATATGAAGTGTGTGGGTTCACAACTATTATTCCTGACAGCTTTCAGGTGATTGTCATTGAGTCAACAGATAAGGCAGAAGGCAGAAAAGCAAGGCATGAAAGCATACTTAAGAGTTATGCATTCAAAGAACTTTAGATGTGCTTATTGACATAGAGAATTGACTTCAAGTATATAGATAAGATTACGTTAATACATAGCTTACTAATTTTTGCAAGATATGTATTACCAAAGGAACTTACACTCAAAAGCTATCGATTGTTTGAAATTAAAAAACAAAACTACAACCACCCCAGGCCTCCAAATATCCATGAGTAAGCTTTGAAGCCTACACTGCCTTGAAGGACAGCCCACTTCTGACATGGCAAAAGACGACGATGAACAGAGTGATGTTTCCCAGAGGGTAGAACCAGGGACTCCAGAGGACAGTGCAACAGAAGGTCTCCGAATAAAACAGAATCGTGGTCTAATCAAGCTTCTCCACCTTCCAAGAAGGAGCCCACAACACACTATTCCCAGGGGGATCTCAGAATTACTTTGGAATAGTGACTGCTGTGTCTTTCATTTTTCCCATTCAGAAAGGAAGAATTATATACATAATAATAATGTGTGCATGTGTATACATTAAACAGAATGATAGCCTGTGTCAGAGTGGAGAAGCCTGGCTGGGTATTCACCGAATCCGTATCTTCTTCATGGGCATAGAACATCCAAGTGAGTAAGGTGATTAGGAAATAAACCCATTAAAGGACCTCGTCTAGAAGTCAAGGAAAGAACAGCCTCTTACCCTTGGCCTTTCGCTCCGGCTCACAGGTTTAGTATGGAATGTTCCCGGGTTCTGAAACAGATGTGATAGCAGCCAGGAAAAGATATAACAAAGAGATTAGTCAGAAAAGATTCTGAAGTCTAACTGCTAATCAGGGAAAAAAAAAAAAAAAAAAAGGCCCACCACAATATCTGAAAAACATTTTATCATTTAAATAAAATTTTAAAAATCAGCTTTTTCCTTTCATTACCTCATTTTATAAAGGGATTGGCAGAAATATTTGGCATACAATTCCAAGGGCCTTCATCAGGTACATGCCCCAAATAGTTTTAACAACCAGAAACATTAGATTGTGGATAAAGGTGGCTCAGCGCTGAGATGAAATTTACTGTGAAGCTTCTTTATTTCTCTAGTGAAAGAATCTAAGGAGGAGTTATAAATTTAGTGGAATCAAGAAATATTTGCTCATACTCTCTCTCTGCAAATATGGTGACCTGTGTGTGTATACACAGAAGGAAGCTGACAGCGCCCAGGGCAGGAGGCACAGTTGAGGACAGCAGTGCCTACTTTTCTTTATGCGCCATATTGCTTTAGTGCATGTAAAAATGGCATAGAGAATTTCCTCTGAAAGTGAGCTGTGAATTTTGAAATAGCTTAAATATAAATCATGGCTATAAATATGATCTGTATATTTAAGAAATCAACTTCATCTTTGGGATCTAGGGGATTTTTGTTTTAACTACTGAGTTAGCGCCAATTTTGAAGGCCATGTTTATAGGTTAACTCCTTTGACATACTATAAGGTAGTCTGAGTCTCAAACACCATGCATCTGGGTGATGTGGGACCAAAGGAGAAGTTAACACAACTCTGAAGTCTGTGTGGATTTCAAGTGAGTATAAAAGCTACTGTTCGAATTAGCCACATAGCTTGACAGAAGTACTGAGTACATCCTCCAACACCACCATCTACATACACACACCCTTCCATCTACAGTATAAATTTAAAAATGCAAGTTGATGATGTCTGCTGTTTTCCAAATTCTAATGAAAGGATAACTTCAACACATTTTGGAATATTGGCAAATGGTTAATAATAATACTACACAATTCTTGTACTTTTATAGGAAACTCTTTTTCTCAATTATTTTTACATCATTTTATTTACTCTCACTTTTAAGGAAATATGTAAAATGAATATCATCTTAATTTTGCAACTGGAAATACTGAGGCGTGGACTGAATAAGAGCCATAATAGATGATTCAAACTGTCTTACCCTGGATCTGACACAGAAACCAAGTTTCTGACCTCTTTATTCAATGTTCTTCCCATTTGCTTAATGTCTTCCTAACAGAGCGAGGGATGCAAGTTAAGATTTATTTGACGGCTGCCATGTTATATATCCCAATAATACAGTACATACAGTGTATTCAGTGCCTTCTTCCAGGCATCATTACAACTACTTAAAACTTTCATATGTCCACTTCTTTTAGATTTATTTTTTATCCAATGAATACATCACTCATATTTCCAGATCCAGATGAGAGAAGAATTACTTATTGACACATTACAATCTGAAGTAGTGAATATAATTATTGTTACTCATAAGATATGCCACACTTACCCAACTATCTGATTTTGAAATTGATCTAGTCCCCCTTCCATGTGTCATTTCAATAGTAAATTGGTCTTTATTCAGTCATTTAATGTCTCTTTTTAGGGTAAAAGGATAATGAAGTCAAGTTTATCTGCAGTTTACAATTACCAATAACCTATTCAATGACATATGAAGCAGATTTTTACCTCCTTGGCTTTTTTCTCAAATAACTATTTCCACCCTTTAGAGCTTGTCGGAAAAAGATATCCTTTAAAAATTTGCATTTTATTCAGGTTTAGGAACAACATTCGACAGAGCTTGAAACTGTGAAGTTCCACATGAAGGAAATAGGTCAACTCTAGTACCAAACAAAAGATGTTAGATCAACGTGTTCCAGCCTCAAAGGCATTTATTGGATGTTTTCTTAGACTAAACTTCATAGCATAGGATGGCCAAGGTTTTCTGAACTGATTTTTGAATCATTTTATTCCACGATAAAAACAGTAAAGATGAAAAGGGAAGAATTACATTGCACTAGTTTAAAACTAAACAAAACACAAAAACAGCCACCAAAAAGGTACACATGAATGGGCAGAAGGGTTTTGAGGGTTACACATGGGAAAGATGCAAAATTTTCAAAAAGTCAGTTGTCATAATAGGCTGCCTTACCATGGAGATAAATTAAAACCCTTATAGGTGGAGGAGACACTTACATAATCATTTGAGTGTACTTGATTTTGAATGACCTCATGATAAAGGTCCCGAGGAGCCCACAAAATGCACCACAAAGGAGTCACTTTACACAAAGACTCATGAGTAGCAACTCTTTCTTAAAAGAAAAATTTCTGTTCAGGGAATTTGAACCACTCCAAAGAATTTAATGACTTGCAGGGGCTTGTAGGTCAGTCACATCTGTTCTGAAATGAAATGCTTCTTCCTGTTTCTAAATGCACTAACCCTTAACCCCATTAGCCCTCACATCTTAAAACAAAGATTATTCCTGTTTCATGAGCAATGTAACAGTCGGGGCCTTTATGTGTATTCCAGCACATGGAACTCATCACAGTTTTATTCTTCTCTTCTGGTCAGCAAAAAGAGGGAAGATGCAAAAGAAGAAATAAAGCAAGAAATAAAGTCTGCATTTGGGTCTGAAGGTTGGATTGGAATGTCCTGTCCACATGGACATGTGTGGAAAATACGAGAATCTAAAATAATAACCAGCACCTTTCCAAGGTGGAGAGTTTCCTCTGTATTCTTTCCCTCCACCATTAAGTTTCCATTTTTCTGCTGAGTCTTCTCTGCATGAAATGAAAGGGAGCCAGTCTAAATGAGCTGAGCCCCTGACTAACCTTCTGATGCTTCGGGCTTAGAATACACCAAAAGCTAAAAGAAGGTTTCACCCTGGACCCTTATTTGCCAATGTAACAATTGGTTTGGAAAATTCTAAAGGAAAGGAGTAAAATGAGGCCTAGGCAAACTCGAAAATGAAGATGCGCTGAGAAGCTCGTGCTTGGAGGGAAATACATGGGGCGGGGCGGGGGGGGCGGCAAGGAGAACTCACATATCTCATAGTGTGATCAGAGAAAGTCTCCTTATGTTAAGGAAGAGCGAAAGACCCTTTCTCTAGGGCAAGAGTGAGCAGCTCCCTTGTTCTATGTGGTTCCCTGTAGTCTTCCTTTTGTACAAAAGATGAAACGGCAGATAGCGAGGAAAACAGGGGCCCCCGCCCCACGTTTACGTGTCCCAGGTCTCACCTGTGAATAGACGACGTTTTGCCAGCATTGTGCCGCAGGGTAGCTGCCACCCGGAAACCGTGCCAGGCTGGCCTGAAGAAGGGCTGAGCTCCTCATTAAGGACTTCACATCAAGCTGCAGGAATTTGTCAGGATGGTTGTTATTTGGCAAAACAGAGAGATCCATGTCTCCCTTTGTCTACAGTGGGCAACAAAGGCAAGTGAGGCTGCCCCATCAGACTCGTCCATTATTCATGAGCCCGAGGATGCTCCAACTGGCATGAGACCAGATCCCTCTGCTGTACTCAGATGCCACTCTCGAAATGACACATCAACACAAAGGAACAATGCAGCTCCCCCGCCTTCTCTTTTACACCACACACACACACACACACACACACACACACACACACACACACATGCATTTAGGGTGCTTGAATGCAAAAATAGGGCTACACTTTAGGAAAGAGGAACTATTCTTTGGATAAAGGCTACCAGAATTTCAGTGTCACCATCCCTAATTTGGAGCACATGAAATAGTCACCTATAGAAAGACTTTTTTTTTTCTCTCTGAACACTACTGAGCACACACAGCTGACTTGGCCTTGCCTGCGCAGCCTCACATGTGATATGCAGGATCTTGTTTCCTCTCCTGTTTTGACTCCCAGAGTCTCAGGCTCATGTGAAACCTGACTCCGCTTAGGTTGTCAGCTTCGTTCTGAGGAGGGAAATGTCAAGAATTTGCTTTCTAGTTTGCTATAGTAATTTAGTGTCCCGACCTACTGCCTTGACCCATTCACTATCCGAGGTCCCTTTGATTCTCTTCCTAGCTGTATAAAGCCCTCTGATGTGTTTTGTTGTTCATACAGGACATTTGGAACCAAAAAGGAACATGGCTGCTGGGATGGGTGACGTGCTGTCCTAAGTGAACCCATCTGCTGTTCAGGGAGCTGAGGCGAAAGTGAGGCTCTGGACGGTGTATCAAGGCAGGAAGTGACGATGACTTTAATGGAGATAAGCTCTCTCATTTGAAGCCATTATGCCTTGGGCAACCCATACTTCTCACTGGGATAGTCTGGATTTTCATCCAGAGAAGGAGGCAAAGCTACATCCCACTTGTGAGAAGGCAAAGGATAGACACATCAGCAGTTTCTAACTGACCTAAGTTGTTTGTTATGTTTGCACCTCTGTAAACCCATCTGACTCAGCAGGAAAAAAGCAGGAAGGCCTCTTCCAGGGGTAATGAGGTTACATGTGGAATGTATCAGCACCAGATTTCAGAACAGTGCCATACAGCTTACAAGAATTGCAGCCAGGATGTTCTTGAATCAAGCAAGACACTGGAGAGTACTTATCTTCTTTATAGCAATAAGCATGAGGGTGTTAAAAAAAATTGTCTGATTGACTTTAAAACTGGATTAAACAATCAACATTTTCTATAAGGAATTTTTGGATCCAAACTCTATCACTGTCTTACGATATTTGAAGTACATTTGGGTGGTTTTATTAACACATTTGCTGGAGAAAGTAAGAGGTACTTTATAATGACAGTTAATAACAAAACAGTTAAATCACAAGTATTTCAAGAATCAAGTGTATTATGTGCATGTGCATTTGCTTGGTATTTTCTGGATTTTTCTGGCTGCTGCCAGAAAACATCTAATGAACAAATATTTCTCAGGCTGTTTGCTTTTCCTAAAAGATTCTTTGGGGAATAACAAACATCTTCAAGAAGAACCTTACTTCTCTTTGGCTCTTTTCTATTGGCAAGTGAAGACACAGAACTTAGATCCAAATATATTGATTAGGCCAGGCTTTTTCCCTAGCCAAAGTATGAAGTAGGTGAAATGACCCTTCAGTTTTCCTTAGGAGTCCTTCCTTTAGATTCCTCCGCCATGCTCTAGATGCCCAGAGGATTGTATTTTGTCTCTTTTCATTTATAAGTCAAATTTAGCCTCAGACTCATCTTCTCCCACCATCCTCTGTCTAATCCTTACTCCCAAACCATCAGTTCTCATTCCTCACGACTATCTTTGTAGCCAACATAACTGACAATCAGGGAAATCAAGCTTTCTCCTCCCTCCCCTGCGTCTGGCCATACACCACCCCAACCCACCCTCCACCCCACCCTCACCAAACTTGTACCTCTGCTTATGCCGGTCTTTCTGCCGGAAGACGTTTCTTCCCAACTCAGGCTGCTGACCGCCTCTTGGTCATCCTCATGGGCCACTGCTAGTACCTAGGCTTTTTCATAGAACCTTCACATATTTTCCTTAATACAAATGAATTTTCTCTCCTTTGCAATCTTAGATTGATTTGTTTATATTCTCATCGTACTGTCTTTCGTTTATGCATTTCATACTTTTCTGAGTCGCTACACTAGATGATACGTTATAAAGAACGGCGCTGTGGGATGCTTCTTTCCCCACATGAGTCATCTCTATGGACCCACAGAAAGCTTTTTGCTCAATAACGACGGTTGTTGTCTCTTCCAGAGCCCTAAGAAGGGCCCTACTCTGGTCAGAAATTGATAATCCAATTAAATCAGATTTTAAAAAGTGGTTTAGTGCTCTGTTTTCCAGTCAACTGTGCTCAATGAAAAAGGAATCGACTGCCAAATATGTTTGTAACGTACTCTATATCATCTTCTAGTATTTTCCAATGCATGGACTCACACCGAAGACTCTGAGAGTTCTGCTTTAACTCTAGCATTTTCCAAATTTACTAGATCATATAAAACCTATTTCATTGTTTCCCTTTTAACTCTTCAAATATTTACCTGAGAGTAATGAGATAAATATTGACTTAGGGTTTCTATTTCTTTCCTGTCATTAATCCGTCCTTCTATAGTGACAAAGGGTATCAGTAAATATAAAGAGCTATATTGCAGGGACAATCAGGTGGAAATGTGGAAATCTAGAACTTCTTAATCCTTACTATTCAGGTAATCATTTGCTTTCTTTCTTTACAGTAGTTGTTTAATAAAAGTATCATTTTCCCCTTGGATTTGGACTCAGAATTGTTTTTTGAACTATGAGAATTGTAAAAATAGAATTAAATATGGTTCACTAGGCAAAACTGACTAATATTAATTAACTTTCCTTTCTCTTCTTTCTTCTCAGCCTGCCTTCCTTCCTTCCTTCCTTCCTTCCTTCCTTCCTTCCTTCCTTCCTTCCATCCTTTCTTCCTTCCTTCCTTCCTTCTTTCCTTCCTTCCTTCCTTCCTCCCTCTCGGTCTGTCTGTCTCTCTCTCACTTGCCTTCCTTTTCCTTCCTTCCTTCCTTCCTTCCTTCCTTCCTTCCTTCCATCCTTTCTTCCTTCCTTCCTTCCTTCTTTCCTTCCTTCCTTCCTTCCTCCCTCTCGGTCTGTCTGTCTCTCTCTCACTCTTTCTCCATTTCTCTTCTTTCTTTTCCTTCTCTCTAAATTGCACCAATAACCTACTAAAATATTTGAAAGTATTTCCAGCTAAAAAAAATTTCACAATGTCCAGGTGAGCAGTTGGGATTCATCAAATTACTGAGAGAATTTCAAATTTAGTTGGATAGTTTTGATGACAAAGAAAGCTTGAGATGAAGATATAAATCCTGGTGCATCTATTAAAAAACATTTTCAAAATTGGTAAACAGGGGAAGCAATCAGGGTAACTAAGTGCACAGAATTTAAAGTCCTAGTGGATTTATTACATCCAAATAAATTGCGTGCTTGGGCAAGTTACTGAAACCTTCTGAGCCTCGGTTTGCTCAGCTATAACATGAAGATATTAACAGTATCTTACAAGGTTGCTGTGAGATTTAATAGGTATAGTGGTTGACTTTGATACAAAGCAAACTAAAAAAAATTAAAGTCATAGTAGCCATCTAAAGCTAAAAAGCAAACTATATTTCCCCGAATTCCCTTCTCTGTGTGATTCTGGGTTGACTTGGCCAAAAGAGAACCCTGCTTGAGATTTGAAAGGCAAAATGGAAGCAACATCCATTAATCTGAAAGCCTTCTTGCAGTCAGATGCAGTGACAGACAGAGGCATAGGTGCCTGGCAGGTTCCAGGTTGCCTTTGTTCTCTTGCGCTCCATGCCCATTTCTTCTTTCCAACTGTTGGTCCTGTTGACCACCAGCAAACTCAGATTCACTACCAGATGTGGACCTACAGAGGAGGAAGCTATACAGAAGCAACAGCATCCCATAGGCATCTTAACAAATTAAGCTTTCACAGTCATACTTGCCTGGAGGTGCCTGGTGGCTTAAATTGCTTGGTGACCCTCTCCGATCCTCCAACTCCCATTATGGACCTTCCCCAGCTCCTCCTCTAGTGTGTGAATTCAAATCCGTGATCCCACAAGACTCCAATGCTCTTCTGCTGATGGAACCATGACAATTGCTGGTACAAGAATAGAATTTTAAAACTGGAATCTGGAATTAGTTCTCTGATCTGACTAGACTTAAAAGGCATTACTGACCCTGTTTCCAGTAGTAAGTGGGACCATGGTCGTCCACGGCATACAGTCGCAAAATGGTTATTTAAATTCTCACCTATAGTAAGCAAGGCTCTGAGTTACCAAGTGCCTGCTGCATTAGGACTTTTTCATAGAAACAAAGAGAATCATGTCTATGAGGCTGATTCATTGCTTCTAAAAAGGCTGGGGAGCTTAGAGAAAGAGAATAAAGTCACAGCTCGAGGTCTAAGTTGGGACCCAGAAAACTTGCATGACTATCTTAAAAATAAAACCTTTTTAACTCAACTGCTGATGTTCCACTATCTGTCATGTCCTCTAATTCTACATCCAGATTCGAGTCCCGGAAAATTCAAGAGGGCCAGGCAAAACTTGTGTGACTTGTGAGGTGGTATCATACATGCCAAAGGAATTACAAGATTTCACTAATTCATATTTACTAAAACCCAAGGTATATGTTTCTTCAGAGTGTTATATTAGGGTGGAAGGAATACAATGTCAAATTACCCTAAGGAAATTACTAAGCAGAGATTCTGGATTAATTGTGTTAGTTCTTGTGGCTCAGAGTAATTCTAACAATTTATCTGAAAACCAGGTGCAATGGTGGCCTATACTGAGTGAAGTTGGGGTGCCCCAACCTTCTTGCTATAACGTAGTATAAACATTTATAAGCATTTGGGGAGATTGGCTTTAAACGATAGATGGGCTCACCCACCTGTTATACATCCCCAAAGAGTGTC